CAGCTTGTCTGCCACCTTTGTTATTTTGTAGGCTTATCGGATTGCTGGCATGTGCATGGAAGAGCTTTCTCTGGGAAGGCCAGTTGGTTTCAGCCAGATGACTTTTGCTCTCCTCTTACCCAAGCAGCTTTGCAAACAAAATAACAATGAAAAGTCAATTTAAAATAAATAATAAAAAAAATAAATTCTATTCAGGTTTAAATGACCTGTATAGTATATACATCTCATCACATGTGGACATATGTCTATGATAGGTCTTCATTTGAGAAGGTACTGACATTCCTCTTTTCCACAAAAATCCTGTGGTATACAGCCTAGTTAGAATGTTCAGCAGCAACTGTTAGGTTAGTTGGATATTCACCTTCACTTATGTGGAGTGTACTCCCCTGAGGCATTCACTGTGTCCGCATCTTACATGAATTTGTCTTTCAGTTGCATACTACAATGCAAAGCAGCGTTCTGACCTTTCTGGTGCAAACTCTCCTGTCCAGCATCTAACAGAATTACAAATCATCCCTCAGACTACTGTCATTTGGAAAGACTATCTCAGCAAATATCCAAAAAGGAGAAGCATGAATTACTATGAAAGGAAGATTTTTTAATGAAATAAAAAAGGAAACTTACATTAACGTTTCACATTTCTGAAAAAGTGTCACTTCTTGCAACATGCTACTGTTTCATGCACAGGACACCACCAGCTCCCCTTCTACTTTACTGGTTCCCATGCTCGCTCTCTTTCCCCTAACCTGAAGCAGCTCATCTGTTACTATGTGAAATAAGGACCCACTCATAACACAAGTATATCCGAACACTTCTAGATCTTCCCATCTTTCTTCCATGCTCCAAAAGTATAAAAAATAAAGTGCTTTTGCCAGCTGTGGCATATCACTTACTTCTTCTAATACTACTAATAATTACTTGTCTAGACAAGATGTTCATAGTTTGCATTCCAAATAGAACATTAGCAATGAAGTATGTTGCTACATCCTGAAATTCACCACTTATGGTAACTTTCATAGTTCTCCATTGAAGGCATGACAGGACCCTATACTTCTAAATTTGTCATTAAGAGTACTGTCACAATGTATGATTCATCTAGAGATAATACAATCTAATACCTTTGTATGGTGCCTGTCCATCATCTAGGCACTTCACTACAACCTAGAATTAAGACAAGCAATAAAAATCACATGAATTACTTGAAAATGTAAAACCAAATACCAGTGACAGGCCATAATCATTAATTAAAAAAAAAAAAAAAGTTGTTTACTCTCCTTTGAAATAAAGGCTAAAGCCAGAATCCTTCAAGGGTTTACGCACCAACCAATTTCTAGACCACATCACCGATTTCAGTGGGATTACTCACATCGAGTAAAGTTAACTTTGAGTATCAACCTTTGCAGAATCAGGACCCAAACTGAAATGCCTCAAAGCTATGCAAGCACAGTAGCAGGGAACAAGATAGATTTTTAACCAAAAGAAAAACATAACTACTGAAAACTTGTATTTGTAGTAAGAGTATATTAATTACACACCAATAGGCTGCTACTGCCAAAAATCCCAAGGCAACGGAAAAGCCACTCGCTTCACAATTCACAGTGTTGCGTTTTGGTATCTACGGGCCACAGACCTCTTAGACAAAGTTAATTGTATCTAAGAAGTACAACTGGAACCACAGTTACCATTACTACACACAGAAAGATTGTGATACAAAAAATACTGACAAAGAGTGCCAGAAGCATTTAACTTAGGCTGGGCATTTCAGTTTTGCCACACACACAGGCCCGAACTAAGACGTGAGAGTCTGACAGCAACTGAATTTTCACATAACGAGTGAGTCACACGCAAAACCAGCAGTTCCACAGCAGTGCAGGTTCCTGCGAAAACACGCTGCCTCCCATCGTCTGCAGACTCTTCTCTTTGCCTCAGCGAAAGGGTCACTCGTTTTGTGCAGATTATCTGAGGATTTATTTCCAAGGAACAGCAGTTCTCTGGCAGAACTGGTTATCTGAGGTGCAGTTTAGGTGCATGAGAACACAGGGTGCTGAGCAGACACGTGACTCTTGTCCCTTCTCCCTTCCGAGGCTCTCAGGGCTCCAGCACAGGAGCAGACAAACCAGAAGAGCAAGATTATCATTTCGAACAACTGAGCTTGTAGCAGTAGCTTGTTCTGTTTCAGCTCAGATAAATAAGCATCTTTCACTGCAACAAACTGGCCAAATTTGCAGGGCTGTTGTCATTTACTCAGCGGTATAGTTAACTGAAGTACGGGTGAGATATCTGATGCATACTTACTAGCGTAAAACATTAATTTACATAAATGGGCAGGGGGGAATCAAGAAACAATTATATCCTTTTGGTCTTTTTACATGACGCCAAACTTTAAGAAATCTCACTAACTTCAAAACCAAGAGATGAGATGCCTGCACGGCATTAACTGGCATACTAGAAAACTAATACACTGCAAATAAGATTAACAGATTAAATTGTCTGCCTCAAAAATACCCCCAAACCCAACTAAATGAAAATAGGCTTTTGTGGTTTGGGTTAGTTTTTTTGTTTTGGTGAGGTGGGGTTTTTTTTGGTTTGTGATTTTGGAGGAATTGTAGGGGGAAAGGTACTAAAGATGGAGAAACAGGGATTTTTAATAAATAAGTGGAGAATTATAAACATGAATCTTGCAATCTCCCCTTTTGGAATTCCAAGCAGTCTGTGTTTGTCCAAGAACATCAGCATGTACAATCAGCTGGCAGTAGATGAAGTTTGAACTTTCGTAAGGTCACAGGTATTCACATCACCTCCAGCAATATCAAAGTTTCAAACTTAAGAAGAACTTTAAATCTTTCCCATCTTTTCTTTTCAGTTCAGAGGCTTCCTTCTTGAGCTATGATAAGAACTAATCTCAGTGCTGGACAAAAGAATAAAGTCTGCAAGTTCTCATCTATCCCTACTAAGGTCTATTTAAGTGCCTCCTACTTTGGTACAAGCAACAAATGTAATTGCTTCATGGCCTGCGGGTGTTCATTTAACAAAAGAAGCTTTTGTGAATAAACCACAGGTGTTACCTTTCTTGATTAAAGTGAAATATGATGAAAGAATCTACAATATCAAATGACAAATTTACGAAATACCAATTAAATTGCCTTATTTAAGTAAAGTGCATCTAGTTAGGATAAAATACACACCATAGA